ATAAATATATATATATATATATAATTGTATTATTAATATAAAGTATTCATGGATTCTTTTTTCATTCACAAAATTTAAACTTATCACTTATTTACATGATTGAGTCTCTTGAATCAATTACTAGTTAATGTCATGTAACTTTTAAACTTTCATATTATTAATGTGCATTAATCATGATGATTGTAACAAAATCTAATGATTAATATATATCCTCTCGTAAAAAAGATAATTTTTATTAGGAATTGGACTTTTAAAAATAAATGGTTAAAATTAAAATTTTGTTAATAGTAACGCGGCTACTTAAAAAGATTGTATACATTTATTTTTTATTTTTACCACATTCAAATATAATCAATAATTTAATTTATTTTTTTATTTCTTCAAATTAACAATTATTCCTTATTGTACAAATATATAAAGGGCCGTGATGTCGAAATAACATGATCTCAAATATCAATTTCTTTGTTTACTAAAACGAAAGGTCATAATTCATAAAGTTTACACAATTACAGCCCCTTTCAATTTTGCTCGTCTCTTTTCAACTCAACTGGTGCAAGAAAGCTCTTGTATAATTTTTGGTGCTCTCACACACTCACTCACATACACTCTATATATATATATATCGAAGACCTATTTATTTTAAGAATAAATATATTTAGATTTATTTTGTTCAATAATACATGTATTTTATTAAATTTTAATAATTTAACAATTGAATTTAAAGTTCTTAATGCATAAATTAAATATACAATTTAAAAAATAATTATAATTGTATATTAATTTGAATTAATAAAATAAGGTATCAAATAATTTTTAATTTTTTTTAAAAAATTTGTAGAGTTGATATAGGCATTAAGAATTTAAAATTCAAAATTTGGATGTTGAAATTTGATGTAGAATATGAATCATTAAACAAAATAAGTTTAGGTAGATTTACTTATGAAATAAATGAATTCCTTATATATATATATATATATATGATATCACTTACTTCAAAAATAAGTTTATTTAGATTTACTTCACCTAATAACTCTTATTTTACATCAAATTTAAAAAAAAATCAAAAACTATTTGATACGTCATTTCATTATTTGAAATTGACAGATAATTATATAAAAAATTATTTTATACGTTGATTTGAATTAATGAAATAAATTTTCAAATAATTTTTGAATTTTTTAAAAAAATTTATGGACATAATTTATGTATTAAGAATTTTTAATTTAATTATTGAATTATTAAAATTTAATATAAAATATGAGTTATTATATAGAATAAATTTGAGTAAACTTAATTTTGGAGTAAATGAATCATATATATATATATATATATATATATATATATATATATATATATATAGAGAGAGAGAGAGAGAGAGAGAGAGGAAGGATCCATTTAAACTTATTCCGTTTAATAACTAATGTTCCGCATTAAATTTCAATAATTCAACCATTAAATTTAAAGTTTTTAAGGCATGAATTAAGTCTGTAAATTTTTTAAAAATTTAAAAATCGTTTAATACTTTATTTCATTAATCCAAGTCAATATATAAACTATTTTAATGATCATCTAATTTAAATTATGAAATGAAATATTAAATAATTTTTAAATTGTTTTTTAAAATTTACAGATTTAATCTATATATTAAAAACTTTAAATTTAATAATTGAATTATTAAAATTTAATGTAAAATATGAATTATTAAATAAAATAAGTCTAGATATATTTATTTTAAAATAAATAAATATATATATATATATATATAT